CCCCCCTACAGCCCAGATTTGGTGCCCTGCGACTTACAGCTTTTCCCAAAACTGAAATCACCTTTGAAAGGGAAGATATTTCAGACCATCAATGAGATTCAGAAAAATACAACAGGGCTCCTGATGGTGATTGGGAGAACTGTGCGAGCTCTCAAGGTGCCTACTTTGAAGGGGACTGAGGCACATTGTTCTGTGTACAGTGTTTCTTGTATCTTCTTCAATCAGTGTCTCTACTTTTCATATTATATGTCTGGATACCTTCTGGACAGGCCTCATATACATACTGTCATGTCACCTTCCCTGACTTTGAGCTTAAATCCTTCAGTGGATTCCCATTACCTTAAAGATAAAACCTCCAAATTGTAATGGCCTATAGTAAGACCACTGAATCACTTCATGATTCAGGCCCTACCTTTTTCCTGCTCTATTCTCTACAGTTTTTCTTAATGTTCCATGCTGCCTTTGAATCTCTGTTTTTGAATAATAAAAAAAGAGATGAAAAATGACTGATAGCAACAAGATAAACTGAGATGGCAGGCATCTGATCTGGTGGCAGAAGGGGGAAGACAGAAGATAAAATAGTGGGCAAGTTAAAATAGTTATCTTAGTTACAAACTTGTATTGATGTTCCTGTAATCCAGGAGCTTCTGTGACCTGGAGAGCAAGGGCATTATGAATGCCAGATTGTGGAGATTGTGCATTCTGTTTTGTTCCTCCAGTGAGTGTTGTTTGGTTCGTTGGTTTGCTTGCTTGTTTACTCTCTTGTCTGTTTTATTTAACATGGCTAAACTCAGTCTACATGTTAACTGTAGACTGAAATCTCAGTTTTGTTATTTTAGCCTTAGCCTGGCTGCTTGGAATCACTCCCATACATGTAGTTTGGGGATCAGAAGTGTGTACACCTGATTCTATACACTGATTCTATTCAGTGTATAGAATACATGGAATTCAATGCTTGTGGGTTTTGTTTTTTGTTTTGTTTTGTTTTTTTCTTTTTTGTGATTTACTGAGTAGGTTTTCAGCTGCTATGGTTATGTCAATCCGTCCTTTGGTTCATTGAGTAAAACTGCAGGTTTTCTGTCTCAGTGTTTCCTCTGCTCTCTCTGGCTGAAAGCCACTAAAAATTGGAAAGTCACCTCATTCCATCTTCTAAGTACTGAGTCCCTTCTCCCCACCCCTAGCAGCAGCAGCACCACCACCCCTTCTTTGTTGCCTTCTTCCTTCAAGTAGTTGTTTTTTAATACTTTGTCTATTGTTTCTAGTTGTTCGTGGTGAGAGCTGGTCTATTAGGAGCTGCTTAGTCATTACAGGGAATGGAGCCCTCAAATACATTTATACATTTGAACAGTTTCCTCATTTGTGTACTTGATAGTTTTTATTAGAAAAGCAAGCAAGTGTGATGAGTTTCACAAAGAATTTTAGAAATCTCTTTATATGTTTTAATAATGGAAGCAGTTTAAATTTATTTTCGTGATTCATCCTCTTTTAAATGATAAAAGTAGTCCTGATTAGGTTGAATTTTATTTGCCTCTCCCTCAAATTGTATATGTTTCCAAATCTAGCTCATAGGAATATGTTTTTGAAACAAAGTAATGTGAAGAAACCATATAGTGAAAACCTTCGTTTCATTGAAAGGTGTGACCTAGGTTCTGGGGAGATAGCAGTAAATCTCAAAGTTCTTGATCCTTTGGAGCGAACATTGTGGGCATAGCTACGTAGAAAATAAATAAAATGCTGTGAAGCAAAAGCAAGAGTATAAGAATGCGGTGGGGGTAGACAAGCGTGGCATTATTTTAGATAGATTGGTCGGGAAGTGATTTCGGAGGAAGTTATATTTGGCCAGAGATCTTAATGCAGTAAGGGGAGGAGCCATGCAAGTAATCTGAGGGGAAAGTGTTCCGGGTACAAGGAACAGCAGGTCCAGAAGCCCTAAAATTGGGGCTTCTTTGAGAAATCAAAGAACCAAAAGCTCAGTTCAGAACTGAGGGAACAAGGAGTGTGGTAGATGAAGTTTGAGGGGTAGCAGTTAGCCAGTTGTAGGATTTTGAGCAGGGGGAATGATTGCTTTCCCCCTGTGAAAAGGGGTTTACTTTTCACAAAGATCACTCTGCTCACTAGAGTAGGGGTGCATGTGGAACAAACAGTGAAGGCAGGGAGAAGACCGCTGAGGAGACCCGGGCAGGTTAGGATGGGGAAAGTGGTCAGATTCAGAATATTGGTTTTCTGATGACTTGATGATGGATTGGATATGGGACTTTAGAGAAGGAGCAACTGGATGAATGATCGTACTATTATTTACTGAGATGAGAAGGACTGGGGAATAATTGGTTTAGATGGGGGGAAATGAAGAGTTTTAGATACCCAGAAGGAGACGTCGGGCAGGTAGCAGGCTCCATTAGTCTGGGACTCAAGAGGGAGAGCTCCCTTGGAGTTGGGAATATAAATTTGCAAAGACTGTTTAAAGCAGTGTGTTTGGATGGATTACCTTGAAAAGAAACCCTAGGTCTGCCCTCCATAGCCCACCAACATTTAGATTTCCAGAAAAGCAAGAGAATCTGACAGAACTGAGAAGCTGCCAGTGGGTAGGAAGAAAGCCGGAAGAGTATAAATCTCAGATGCCAAGAGAAGAAATTGTTTAAAGAATGAGGGAGTGACCCTGGCTGGTGTGGCTCAGTTCCTTGAAGTATTGTCCCACGGGTTAGATTACAGGTCAGGGCACATGCCTAGGTTGCTGGTTTGGTCCCAGTCGTGTTGAATATAAGATGCAACCAATAAATGTCTGTCTGTCAGACTGCCTCTCTCTCTCTCTCTCTCTCTCTCTCTCTCTCTCTTCCTCTTCCCCCATCCCCCCACTTCCTAGAATCTAACAAAATAAATAAATTTTTAAAAGAATGAGGAAGTGACTAAGGAGAGATTCAGTAAGATGAGGATTGAAGACTGACCTTTGGGTTTGACAACCTGAAGGTCTATAACTGCTTTGATTGTTAAGTACTTTCAGTGGAGGAAAAACTATGAAAGCCTGATTGTGGTAGGTTTAAAAGACATGAGGAGGAAGGAAATGACACATAAATATAAACAATCCTTTCCAGCAGTTTTAGCCCAAAAGAAGAAGGGGCAGAGAATGGATAGCTTGATTGAAGTCAAGGGCAGCTTTCTCAAGATTAGCAGTACCCCTTAAATTATTTTTAAATATTATTTACTGCCCTGGCCAGTGTGGCTCGGTGAGTTAGGTGCCATCCTGCAAAGCAAAAGGTCGCCAGTTCGATTCCCAGTCAGGGCACATAACTGGGTGGGTTGCAGGATCAGTCCGCAAAATGGGGAATGTACAAGAGGCAGCCAATTAATGTTTCTATCTCTCTCTTTCTCCCTCTCTTCCTCTCTAAAAATAATTTAAAAATTTTAATATATCATTTACTAATTTCAATACTTTTTTCTGCAACACTATTGTAGAAAGACTTTAAGTACTGAACTCGTGTGTGGGTGTGTGTGTTTTACATAGAAATAGATTTGGGAAATCTAGAATGCAGATAATTTGGTTGGCAGTGCTTTCACCTGATGTGTAACTGAGCCAAAGTACCATTGAATTAAGTAAAACTTAATCAAATGATAATAAAAAGCTGAAAGGCTTTATTATGCATGCTATCTAAGTAAGCCTTTATTTTATTGAGGACTCAGAAGTTCTATCATAACTAAGTTTACTCAAAAATATTTTAATGTTTACTGTTATGCTGAAAACTGCCTTCAAAGCTCTAGATACACAATAATGGGTCAGGGATCCAGTTCTTACATTCGTAGAGTGTACAGGCTTCTATTTACTTTAGCTTATGTTTATGTGGTTGAAAGAAGTACTACAGATAAGAAATTTGTTTTTAAAGAGATTGTCTTTTTGTTAAATTTTATTCTAAAATTAAATATATATATTTTTAAATTGTTTGTTTGTTTGTTTGTTTGTTTTGGGGGTGGGGGAGGAAAGGAGAAAGAGTGGGAGAGAAACATCGATGTGTAGTTGCCTTGCATGTCTCCCCCACTGGGAACTGGCCCGCAACCCAGGCATGTGCCCTGACTGGGAATCGAACCACGATCCTCTGGTTCTCAGGCCCACGCTCAATCCACTGAGCCACACCAGCCAGGGCAATATATTTTAATTATTAAGCAGATGCCATGATTTTAAATCTTTTAATAAGCTATTTAGGTTTAATATACTTATATATTATTTATGTCCCAAAAAAGCTTTCAAGAACCAGCATGGTTTATGTTAGGAATATTAGAAATAAAAATAAGGCAGATAGTTCTCAACTTTGGCTACATGTTAGAATCACTTGAGAAACTGTTAAAAATATGTATGTCCAGGCTCCTCCCCAGCCAATTAAATCAGAACCCTTCAGGTGGGGTAGGGGGTCATGGCAAGCATTAGTATTTTTTAAATACTGGTGTAATAGAAACATGAAATAAAATTCTACTAAGCCCCTGAGAATGAATTGATTATACATTTAAGGATTAAATATATCTGAAAATAAGAGAAAATATCAAATGTATTGGGTTATAGATCATTTTTAAACAAAGTATGCAAAGTTATTTGTAGAACCAGAACCAGAACCAAACGTTTTTAGGATCCTAATTTTGTGTAGAATGAGAATTACTCTCCTCAGGCTGTCTGCTAATCATTAAGGAAAAAAAATCAGTAGTTACTCAGTTTCCCTTTTTAAAAGAATGAGAGAAGACCCCCTTGACAGTAATTCTTTACTTAAATACCTTTGGCATAGCCATTATAAAGCATAAAAATATGTAGGAAATAGACAATTTAAAGTTTGCCATCAGGTATTATAAACTGAAAAGATGGTATAAAGCTTTATAGGACTAAGTAATATTTTTATAGTTTATATTAAATCTAGTATATGTTATACTAGAGCACAATATCCTTTTGTATTGAAATTTTAAATTCACAGCAGTATTCATTCTGTAATCAGTTCTCATTAAATTGTTTTTTCTTTCTTTCACAGAAAATGCTTGGACAGAAGAGATGAGTTCTATTTCCACTAAGGCCTAGAATTGCCTGCTGTACAAATAGTCCTGATCAGGCAATATACGAATGGCCCAAGGAAGCCACCAAATTGATTTTCAGGTTTTACATGACCTGCGACAAAAATTTCCTGAAGTACCTGAAGTTGTTGTATCCAGGTGCATGTTACAGGTCAGTGTTCAATGATTTCTGAATTTATTAATACAAACCTGGTATTTTTTTAAACATGAGAAGAAAACTTTTTAATCTTCTTACTGGCTTTAATGTGCTATGATGAAAAGAGATGAGTTTTGGTGTCTGGTAGTCAGCGGCCTTTAACAAGTCATGTAGTCTCTGTACCCCATCAGTAATGCGGACAATATGTGGACAGTACCTACCTTGTAAAGTAAATGTGAGAATTAAACAAGGTCCCAATAGAAAGCTTTGATACATGGTTTATGCTTACTGTGAGCTTGCTTTACTTTTCCCCCTCCTATTTTGCCAGGAGAATTCCAGATCTTCCTGTGAAAGTGAGAGAGTCATTAAATAGGAGTCAAGACTTTGGGGTTCTAATTCTAAATAGGCATCTCAAGCGTATTTGGCAGGTACTATGCCTTCTTTGTACTTGAGTTTTCTTTTCTGTAAAAATGAAGGAAATTGACTAGACAAAGCCTAAGATCCCAATTCTAAAAAGTTCATTTTTATATTTTTAAATTTAATCTGTAAGTTTTCCAATTAATATTACTAAACAACTAACACATTTTTTTATTTTTCTTAGTATGTACAATTTTAGAAATCCATGATTCTAAATATTTATTAATGGTTGTGCCTTCTCATTTGATTAAACTGGAGGTCTTCCTATCAAAAACTATTTTTCAGTTTGTTAAAATAGAGATATAAAAAAGTAATTTGGACTCAAGACATATTTACTCTTGACAAATTAAAGTTTGAAATTGTATGAAAATTTTAAAGACTCAATATTTATACTTGCTATTAAGTGACTATGTTTTGCTAACACCCTTATTACCTTTTATCTGTACCATTCATTTGTGTGAACCTGCCTTTACTCTGCCATCCATCCTCCTTACTTCTGCCAAAGTCTTTCTAAATGCAGATTTTAATATATATTTACCTGCTTGAACCTCATTGTTGTTCTCCATACCTTCAGAATAAAGTTCATATCTTGACTAGGTCTGGAATCTGGAATCCTGCCTTCTGCAGCCTGATCACTTGCCCATTCCTTCTTCCTCACAACCTATGCTGTAGTCATCCTCAACTGATTGGAATTCTCCCAACATGCCTGACTCTTTATATAATAAAGTATTGAAAATGTTTTCAGTTAATAATATTGCATTGCTGGAAGAGTTGATCTTAAGTGTTCTTACCACCAAGAAAAAAAAATGTTGACTCTGTGAAGTGGTGGGTATGTTAATTAACTTGGTTGTTTAATTTTACATATATGACATATATATGACATCACTGCAGTGTAGATCTAAAAACATGCTATAATCTGAATATATACAATTTCTAGTTGTCAATTGTACCTCAGTAAAGCTGGAAAGAAATTATTTTTTCAAAAATTGAATAATAAATAGTTGAATTCTATTTTGATTCACCAAAATGAGTCCTGTTTTGCTTGCCAATTACCTGTGAAGCAGATCATACTCATATTGAGTTAATAATCATTCTGAGCATCTCAGTAATGTGCTTTTTAGATGATGGAACAAGAATGCACCCCTGTTTCTGGAACTACTCACATCAATTCCTTGTGCTCTAGATTCTCTAAAGTAGCTATTTATCATCAGGCATAATACATATTTTTAAAATTTATTGATACTCAGTGATTAAATCTTCCAATAGTGTGAAAATATAGCATAGTTGGCATTTGGGGGATTTTTTTAACTGATTTTTTCACTATTCTTTTAATACAGTTGAATCTGTATAAGTTTAGAAATGCTGTTTCTATTCAAAATAATGTATTAAATAGTATTCATTCGGCATTTTTAAAATTTAATATTTAAGTATCATATCCTTAATTGATAACTTCTCAGATGATTCCTACCTACCATCTTTATCCGTATTTCTGTTAAAACACCTACCATTTCGTATTATATTTATACACACATTAATCTCTTCCACTGGATTGTGAGATCCTTAGGAACAGTGACTGTATTTCTTTCTACTTGCCGAGTGGGTTGAAGGAGTGAATGAGTAAGAGTTTGAGAAGGATGATCACAGTATATACTTACTTTTGATTACCATCTGTAATCTCCATGTCTGCACATGAAGCTTGGGGAAGAATGAACAAGGAACTGGAATTACAATTCAGGTTCTTCTACAACTTTGAAGAGAATGTAGGTTTGTATATATACAAAAAAGCAGTGATTCTCAACCTTTTAAAAACTTGACCCCACCTGTTTTGATACACTTAAAAGGAACCCTCTAAAGTTCCCCAGTAAAAGTGCTTAGGGCTTATTTGAGAACTAGCTGATTCCAGGTCTGGGGTAGGGAGTGGACAAAGTGATCTGGACATGTTGTCATACAGAAAGCAAGGCAGCTATCTATGAAAAACTACTGGGTTCACAGTATATGTACATGGAAACCAACTTGAAATTATTCCCACTAGCTTAAAGATAGGATATAATGACCACAATCAGTTGACACATACCAACATGTTAAAGATATAGGAGTTTATAATGATACAAAAAATAAATCTTGGTCAGCTTTGGAGGTTGTTGGGGTACCAATTCATTACTCTAAAAACTAGCAAAGAAAAATAATATATGTATTCTGCCTCTTCTGGGCAAAGACTAACCAAATAGTTAAAGAAAGCAAGTTCTTTGAGAAAGAATCAGAGCTAAAATATGAAGGAATATGAGGAAGAAGGAATCGTATAATTGGGATATCACCACTATCACCATTTTGCAACCCCTAATAAAATTAAGTTTCTAGAGAGCGATCATCAGTACCTGCTAAAAATCATTAGCTGGATCAAGCTGACATCAGAATCTATCAGTCAGCTTCAAGATCACAAAAAGTCAGACATTGTTGTGCTTCTTGTGTGACACAATAAGAAATAAACCCTCTAAAGGGTCTGGACAAACATTCACACAAAACCTGCTCACACCTATAGAATTATAACTACTAGTTTATGGTGAAATACAGGGGATATTGCTACCACAGGGTGCAGTCAGCCAGTCCAAATGGGGAAGTCCATTAGATGGCCAAGTTTTCCAACATATGGCTAAAAAAAAATTAGAAACATAAGAAGCATATCAACCAAATAATTGGACCTTGCCTAAGTCCAGACTTAAACAAACTAAAAGGACATTTATGAAACAATCAGGGGACTATAAACTCTTTGGATATTAGATGATATTAAGTATTAATTATTTTAAGGTATGATAATGGCATTGTGGTTATTTGGGGTTTTTTTTTAAGTTCTGATTATTTAAAGACACATATAGACGTATTTACAGATGAAAACAAAACATTTAAGACTTAAGTTACCCTGGTGGGGAGAGTATTTGGGTCATAGACATTGGATGAAAAAAGATTTGCCACATATCAAATACTGTTAAAGATGATGGATGATGGATAAAGAGGAATTTGTTATATTCTATTTATTCTATTGTAGCATTATAAAATTCTTGTAAGTTCTTTTATGTGCTGCTGGTAAGAAAGTAATATAAGTTATGGCATATCTGGGACTAGAACATATTAAATAATCAGATTATAAAGGATTGAAGGGATTTCTGAGAGCTCAAGAAAATTAGAGAGGAAGACTTTGTAAAGATAAGTGCCAGCTTTTAGAAAGCAAGTTCAGGATTGGATTTGGTTTAGAATGTACATTTTAATTTGGAAATGTTGGCAAAGATGAGAAGTTGGAGTCTTTGTGGGCTTTGGCTTAGAAGAGAGAATAATTTACAAGGAATAGCAATAGTTAGCTTGAAGCAAAAAGCACCAATTGGATTTGGCTAAAGATACAATCTAATTATAATAAGGGGTAATGAGTTTATAAAAGATTGATGAATTTTTAAATTACATTTGAAAAACTAACATTAGAGTTAGGAGTCCGATAAAAGGATTTTTCTAGCATGAGAGATCTAAGCTGTTGATTTGGGGTGGGAGAAAAAATAAAACCACCTTTTCTTTTGTGCTGTTGATCAGACTGTGAGCTGTCATTTCTTAAACAAGAATTCAAAATGCCTTTTTAGTTCAGTTTTCTGTAACAAGATTATATCTCATCAAAATACCTATAGACATTTTAACTTGGTTATTCATCTTTTTTTATATATCTAAAACTGCCTCCATTCTGTCAGGCTTCTAATTCTCAAGTTTTCTTTGAATTCTCTTTCTGGTAAGCCCATTTTATTGACTGTTGACTTTTAGTGTCTGCTATGTCATATCTTCTAACAGGTCTTGTATCAATAGACTTGTTTTCCCAAAACCCTTTGTGTCTCCACCTCTCTATTCATTTATGTTTAGCGGGTCTCCCCATTGCCTGTCTTAAAGTCCAAACTCCAGTGTGACTCATTTTTCAAAGTCCTCAATTATTTCATCCCAGTCTGCTTTTCTGACAACTTATTCTTCAAAATATCCAATATAAACCTTTTAACTTCAGCCAAATCTGTTATAATCACCTTGTTTAGAACATGCTTTTACTTAATATTTATCTTCCTTTACTCATGCCATTTTCTTCACCAAAAATATTTTTAGCCAAATCCTACATATCCGATGAAATCCATCAAGTATTACCCCCCTCATTAACAGAAGTCCTTTCTCCTTTCTTCAGTGTCCTACAAAATTTACTATCTGTTGAACTTCAGTACCAGTTATTATCTGGCAGATACTCGACATTTTAGTGATGTTACCTTTTCAAAAGCCCATGGTTCAAAAGCCCAAGTTACAGTCTCTTCTAGGGAAAAATTTGATTTTATGTGTCATTAAGTCTTCCACAGTCTCAATCTCCATGTTCAGTAAATAATTTTATTTTTTCTTTTTAGATTTTGTTTGTTTGTTTGTTTGTTTGTTTGTTTGTTTGTTTAGAGGGGGCGGGGAGAGAAAGAAATCAATGTACAAGAGAAACATTGATTTGTTGCCTCTTGACACCCCCAACCAGGATCTGGCCAACAACCCAGGCATGTGCCATGCAGAGAAATTGAACCAACAACCTTTTGGTTTTGTAGGATGACAACCAACCCACTGAGCCACACCAGTCAGGGCTGTTCAGTAAATATTTTTATGGATGATTTGTGAATAGTTGTTAGTCTTTTTTGAGGATTCTTTAGAAACAAACTGGTTGGGTTTTTTGTTTTTATTTTGTTTTTTTAAGCTCTGGAGATTTTTATACGGTGCTATCTATTCTAAAGATAGATATGAACTCAGTTACTCAGGAGTCTACTTTGAGCATATAGTTCATTTATATATGTGTGCTTATTTTTTTTTGTAACACAAGTTAGGAAAAAGCATATAAGGAATTGAAATTCTTTATTATGAATTTTAGAATTTTTTAACTTTAAAAGGTCATTTTTAAAAGATTTATATAGTACTTTAATGTAAAAAATATTTAACCGTAAAATATTATATGCTTAAGTTGACTGTTTGGTACTCAGATTTCATTTTTAAATAAGAAGTTCCAAATATATGTTATTTTAAACTAAATTTTTGTTAATTGTGTCATATTTAAGTAGTGGTAAGTATAAACATTCACGTTTGGTCTTAACATCAAGCTGTATTTATTTTGTTTCATAGAATAATAATAACCTGGATGCTTGCTGTGCAGTTCTCTCTCAGGAGAGTACAAGGTATCTTTACGGTGAAGGAGACTTGAATTTTTCGGACGATTCCGGAATTTCTGGTCTGCGCAATCACATGACTTCTCTCAACTTGGACTTGCAGTCACAGAATGTTTACCACCATGGAAGAGAAGGAAATAGAATGAATGGAAGTAGGACTCTGACGCACAGCATTAGTGATGGGCAACTTCAAGGTGGTCAGTCCAATAATGAACTCTTTCAGCAGGAGCCACAGACAGCACCAGCTCAAGTTCCCCAAGGCTTTAATGTTTTTGGAATATCCAGTACATCTGGTGCTTCAAATTCAGCACCACATCTTGGATTTCACTTAGGCAGCAAAGGAACATCTAACCTTTCTCAACATACTCCCAGATTTAATCCCATTATGGTAACTTTAGCCCCAAATATCCAGACTGGTCGTAATACTCCCACGTCTTTGCATATACATGGTGTACCTCCACCAGTGCTTAACAGTCCACAAGGAAATTCTATCTATATTAGGCCTTACATTACAACTCCTAGTGGTACAACTCGGCAGACACAGCAGCATTCTGGCTGGGTATCTCAGTTTAATCCCATGAACTCTCAGCAAGTCTATCAACCTTCACAACCTGGTCCCTGGACTACTTATCCTGCATCTAATCCTCTGTCACATACCTCAGCCCAGCAGCCAAATCAACAAGGCCACCAGACCTCTCATGTCTACATGCCCATCAGTTCACCTACTACCCCACAGCCACCAACAATTCATTCATCTGGTAGCTCACAGTCTTCTGCCCATAGCCAATATAACATTCAGAATATTTCAACAGGATCTCGAAAAAACCAGATTGAAATCAAACTTGAACCTCCACAAAGGAACAACTCTTCAAAATTACGTTCTTCTGGACCTCGAACCTCCAGCAGTTCCTCTTCTGTCAACAGCCAGACTTTAAATAGAAATCAGCCCACTGTTTACTTTGCTACCAGTCCCCCAAATACTGATGAGGTGATGCCCCGGAGTCAATCTAAGGTCTATATTTCAGCTAATGCCACCACAGGAGATGAGCAGGTCATGCGGAATCAGCCTACCCTCGTCATATCCACAAACTCTGGAGCATCTGCCGCCTCCAGGAATATGTCTGGGCAAGTGAGCATGTGTCCTGCCTTTATTCATCACCACCCTCCCAAAAGTCGAGCAATAGGCAATAACTCTGCAACTTCTCCTCGAGTGGTGGTCACTCAGCCCAATACAAAATATACATTCAAAATTACAGTTTCTCCCAATAAACCCCCTGCTGTTTCACCAGGGGTTGTGTCCCCTACCTTTGAACTTACAAACCTTCTAAATCATCCTGATCATTATGTAGAAACAGAGAATATTCAGCACCTCACGGACCCTACTTTAGCACATGTGGATAGAATAAGTGAAGCACGGAAGTTGAGTATGGGATCTGACGATGCTGCCTACACACAAGGTAATGATGCTGAAGGTGGAGTCATTTTCCATGCTGCGCTTATTGTACCCTTGATTTCACTGCAGAAATGGGTATCGGCGTTATTTCATCTTCTAAATGTTGCCCTAAATAATACTATTTTAAGAATATTTGCCAGTGTTTATATAAATTTTAAATTTCAATTTTATTACGGTATAACTTGAAGTTTGAATGATAGAATTATCAGATGTTCAGAATAATCAACTCTTATTTGTTCTCTTAATGTTTGTAACATACATGTTCTTTTCAGCTACATCTTAACTGTGGTGATAATTACTTTCCCTTTAAAATTTCTGCAAATAAAAATTTGTAAAAACACACATTTTAATAAGCTAGTGAACTAATATAGTAAATCTGCCTTTGACCAGTCGAATTGTTTTCATTTCTCTTAATACCACGTTGTTAGTCTTATTTTGTATCAAAGTTTTTATCACTATGACTCCTAGAATAATTTAAAGAAAAATTTGAATCCTTTCCTAATATTTGTCTCTTTCAGCCAGTCCCTTAAAAAATAAGATAATGGAACCTTTCCTCTTATTTGGAATTGTCAATAAGAAGGTTTTAAATCTAATCTCACTTAAATATTTTCTGTAATAGACTGGTCGATATTGGCATAGTACTAAAATATAATTATTAATTCAAGTAGAGATCATTTTTTCATGTGATTATTTTATCTGACCCCTTAAGTTGCTCAGTCTTCAGTGAGAAAATTCTTTCAGATAAGAAGGTGGAGGATAAGGGTTTGTTTTCTTGAATATTGATGCAGGTTTGAAGGTTAGCTCTGAGCCCTTCAGAATAACAACATGTCTTTGTCATCTTTGGATCCCCAATGAATTGTCCCAAGTAGTGTGCTACATCTTCACCCCCTTGCAGCATGCAGCCCCTACTGCCGCAAGTACCACATGTCCTTTTTTAAATTTCTAAAAATAGTGATTTTACTGCTGAGTTTCTTAGAGGAGCTTGAGCTTATTTAATGTTTTAAACAATTCTAGTGATTCGCAACCCAACCTGAGCTATGGTGCTTTCGGATTCTATAATCACCTGTGGAGCTTTTAAAAAATGAAAATGCCCAGAGCTCATCCAGACTTGATCAGTTAGAATTTGTGAATGGTGAAGCCTGAGTGTGGGTGTGCTTACAGGCCTGTTTGTTTTTAAGGTACATGGATGATTCTGATTGCACAGGAAATTGGGCTAAAACATTTTCCCCTGTAAGTCTGTGACTAGAACCGTTTTTGTTAGCAGAATGTGATTTTTAATATATCATTATTTGTTCCATTGATTTCATTCCTGTTTTTTTCCCCTAAAGTCCTCTTTCTTCTATCTTATTTCCATCAAAATAACAGACTTCCTGTGATTGTAGAATTGCTGATTGTTAAAAGGAGAGTAAATTTTTTAAGATAATTTGACAAGGGGCAAAGGGAATTTTGTATTGAACTAGGTATAAGATATTCATGTTTAGGTGACATGTGAAAATAAAGTTGCTTAAGCTTGCTATTACCAATTTCTCTCCCATTCTGTCTTAAATCTACTCTAATCAGAATTTTTTCCATGAGTCAACCAAAACTGCTCTTGGAAAGGTCATCAGTGACAGCATCGTTCCTAGACCCAGTGGCGGTCTCTCAGCCCTCTCATCGTCCTTGATGTTTGTATCAACAGCATTTGCCGCACTTGGGCGCTCGCTTCTCTTGAAACATTTTGCTCATTTGACCTCCAAGATTCTACACAAGGCTTTCCACCTCTCCTTTTATTCTTTGCTGGGTTTTCCATATCTCTCTGCCCGCTCACATACTGTTGCTTAAGAAATGAGGTCAGAATCTCAGAGCTCAATCTTTGGGCCTCTCTTTTTGTCCATACTGTGTCCTAGATGATCCCACTCAGTCTCGTGACTTTAAATGTCATGCACCATATCACAACATTTCAGTCAATGCTGGGCCACACATACGTGGTCCCATAAGATTAAAGTGGATATTGAAAGAAAAGGCTAGACCTGACGAAGGTGTTGAATTTACTGCTAGCTCCGTGTGGTTTAAACAAATTGTGTTATTAGCACGGTATCCATTTGCACCCTACCGTGGCTGGGATCCAGAGTTGGTGAGGAAACCAGAGAGAGGGCTGGGCACCCTTGCATGCGCACACAGGCACACAATGCACACAACGCACCCTCACTCTCCTGCAGACATGCTCACTTCCCTTCCCTCCATTACTCTTTATGTCTCTCCCCAGTCCTGGTTCTTTCTCTCTTTCTCCTGTCTCTTTGTTTTATTATTTCTAGTCTCGGGCCTTATCTCCCTGGGTCTCTTTCTCTTGCCTTCTCTCCCTTTCCTCTTTTCTTGCTCCCCCCTCCTCTGGTGTCTGCTGTCCCACAGATGGCACCTCCCTACACAGTCCTTACCTCTCCACGCCCCTACAGCACAGCACACACTTTATAGTTTATACCTTATTTGTAGTGAACTTTTTTATGTTGATATCTTAAGATACACAAATACTTACCATTGTGTTACAGTTGCCTGTTGTATTCACCACAGTAACACGCTGTACAGGTTTGTGGCCTAGGAGCAGTAGGCTCTATGTATAGCCTAGGTGTGTAGTATACCATCTCCATTTACGTAAGTGCACTCCACGATGTCTGCGTGACAGTGAAATTGCCTGACCACACATATCTCAGAACAGGTCCTCATCAAGTGACCCGTGAGTGTACCAGAATATGTTAATGAATCCCAAATTTATAACTCTAACCTGGACTTACTCCCTGAATCTCAAGCCAGTTTATTTAAATATCTACTTAACATCTCCACTTGAATGTTTACTAGGCATCTCAAGTTTACTAAGTCTTAAACAGCTTCTCACATTCTATCTACCTTCCAGCTTCTCATACCCCCCACTCCAGTTTTCTCTTCCTATCATAGTTAATGGCAACTTAATTTGTATTTAATGATTAAGCCAGAAACTTCAAATTTTCACATCTAATTTAACAATAGGTCCTATCAACTCTAATTTACCACCCTCATCGTCACTCACATGACTCTCGTCCTAGCGGCTATTCTCTCTCACATGGATTATTGCGATAGCCTACCTGCTTTCACCGGTCTTCTTGGATACCTGCTTTCCTTATGGTCTTCTTTGAACCCAGGAGATATGGTTAAACAACGTAAGGCAGATCATATTACTCCCCACATGTTACTTAATCTATTTCAATTCAGAGTAGAAGCTGTAGAGCCTTACATGGTCTACTGTCCCTGCCCTGTTTTCTTTTCCTTTCATCCACCACCACACACACACTGTTCCAGTCCTGTGGGGCTTCTTGCTGTTCCTTAAACAAAGGAGGCATACCTTAGGGCCCTTGTACTTGCTGTTTGTTCCTTCTGTCTTAAATTCTCTTCTTCCGGAATCCAGTTAACTCCGTCACTCCCTTCAGGTCTTTATTGAAAAGTCACCTTTTCAGTGAAGTAGTCCCTGGTCTCTCTATGTTAATCCACATCTCAACATTTCCTGTCTTCCCATCCTTCCTCAAGGGGGGAAAGTGATTAGTTTTAATCTATATAATAACAAATAACAGCTGAAAACTTACTGTGTGCTAGGCACTATTCCAAAAGCCAGTTTCTCAAAACCAACTCTAAAGTAGGAAGTAGCATTATTTCTATTTTCAGATTTAAAAACTTAGGAACAGATAGTTTAAGTACCTTGCCAAAAGTTGAGAGGCAGAGTCAAGATTCTAACCTAGAAAATTGGCAGTAGAGCCCACACTCTTAACCATGACACTGTAACAGCTTTCTGGATCTTCAAAATAAAGCTTCTGGAAAGACGCTCCAGGTTTAATTGTAGCTTCATATAACCCCTGGTGCAACCACCATGGGGGTCTCAGGTGACTCAATTTGAGAATCACGAAGTTAGAAGATCACTCAATACAAAACAAAAACAGGCGGCTATAGAGAAAGAAATCACAATATATAGATATAATTAGAAATCAATAAAGTAAGGCCCTGGAGAGGTGCAGAGAACACCTTATAAAAGCACATACAAGTTTAAAAAAGTACTCATGAGTGAAGGCTCTGGCTGAGAGATCAAAGTCTCCCCAGAAAAGCAGAGTTCCCCAGAATCTGTCACTCAAATTACTTTTCTTTGCTAACAACCTTCAGAGAGCTTTAACAACTGTGATCACTTTTTTTATACATACTGACATAATATATGGAATTTCCTAACATTCATAGCGCTCTCCGCCTTTGTCTCCCATCCAAGTACTAACCAGGCCCGACCCTGCTTAGCTTCCGAGATCAGACGAGATCGGGCGCGTTCAGGGTGGTATGGCCATAGACAGGGCTCTCTGCCTTTGCATTATCTGTGTATGGGCACATGGTTTGGGGGTGGGTGCTGTTCTGCAGCCTTTCATCTCGCTTCCTTCCGTTTACTGTGGAATTGGCATTGACCCTGGTTTATGTATCACTCATTGACAAAATCTCTATCTGTGTTTCTTTGGCTTTATTCCAATGAAATCAAAGAATTGTTCATTTCTGGAAAGTACTTTTTTTGTAGTAATATCTTGTGTGTGGTGCTTTACAGTTTACACAGCACTCACAGTACAGAATAGGGTGTCCTAAGTAATACTACTGATCTTTAAGCCAGGATCTTTCCTGAACTCTAGTTTGTGTCCTGTGGGTAGTGAGGGGAAAAGAAATATCTCTGCCTTCTGCAGTGAAATTGATCTTCCTAGAGCTCCGGGGACATACTGTTTCGGAGTGGAAAAATAAGTTGAACCAGGTACTAAGCTCACAGGAAAATATTTTCTGAAATTCAAGAGGGAACATACGTAAATAAATTTGGTAACCAAAAATGCATTATTTTACATTTATATTTCATCTAACATTTGAAATCTAAAAATGCTACAATAAAAATTTCAAAAATAAGAATTTATGTTCGTAAGAACTATATTGTTTGATATGCCCTCTTCTATAGAATGAGAAGAAGAAAAAGAAGTGAGTTAATGA